GACTACCTCCGCAAACGACTCAACCTACCCGCCCTCGACATCTCAAAGCAGATGGTGGCGAAAGGGGAATCCTTGCAGAAGCGTTGGAGAGATCTCACCACTGGGTAAATCCGGGTTTTTATTTATTTCTGGGGTCGTCAACTCATACTTCCTTCAGGCAGGAACGTCTGTTCGACAGCGTTTCCGTTGCATTGGTCGGCAAGTACACGGATTTAAAAGACTCATACATGTCAGTTACAAAAGCGCTGGAGCACTCTGCTTTCCGCGTCCACCGAAAACTTATCATCCACGTACGTCCTGTGTGCCTGTTTTGTCGCCGCCCATTAACGCGGTTTTCAGTGGGTGGAGTCCTCCGACTTGGAGCCGGAGATGCAAGAATCCAGTCCCGCCAAGTATCATGATGCCTGGCGGGCGGTGGTCGGTGCAGGGTTCGTTCTCATTCGACTCCCATAAGTTACCCATGCTCACTGTTTCCCCAGCGGAATTCTTGTACCCGGCGGCTTCGGCGTACGAGGAACCGAGGGCATGCTCCTCGCCATAAAATATGCAAGGGAACAGAAAGTTCCGTTCCTCGGAATTTGCCTGGGCTTCCAGCTTGCGGTGATCGAGTGGGCGCGCAACGTGCTCGGAATTCCCGGTTCGTGTCCCTTCATTTCCTCTCTATCATCACTGACAGACATGCCCTCAGACGCGACCTCGTCGGAATTCAATTTGGAGACACCGTCTCCGCTGATCATATTCATGCCTGAGATCTCCAAGACTCACATGGGCGGGACGATGCGTCTTGGGCTCCGTCCGACCGTCTTCGAGCCGGGCACTGAGACGTGGTCGCATACGCGCAAATTGTACGGCGGGGCGGGCAAAATCTGGGAGCGCCATCGTCACCGGTACGAGGTCAATCCGGACTACGTCGAGCGTCTGCACGATAGCGGGCTCGTATTCGCCGGCAAGGACGAGAAGGGCGAGCGTATGCAGGCCCTCGAGCTACCTGGTCAGTCCCCTCCCTCGTTTCATATTTTCGACGTACCATCACTAATCCATCCTTCCCCAGATCACCCATTCTTCGTGGGTCTCCAGGCGCACCCCGAGTTCTGCACGCGTCCTCTGAACCCGTCGCCGCCGTTCTTGGGCTTCATCGCAGCGTCGTCCGGCCCCGCGGTGTTCGAAGAGCAGCTCGACGTTCAGATGCGTACCTTCGTGCCTCCGCACCCTGAGAATTCCATGGTCGCCGAGGCCGTGCTCCGCCTGGGCATTCCCGTCGCACATGGCAAGGAGAAGATCCTCGTCAATGGCAAGGGCCAGGGTGTCAACGTGGAGGCCGTCAATGGCCAGTGAAGGGTGATGGTTTCTTTTATTACACATAACGTTTCGGTGGTCTTTTTCCGCTCATCTGTCGACGAATTACCATGCTCTATAGACTTGCTACTTCCACTTGTACTTTTACCATTTACATGAGTATCCCAATCATATGTAGCCCTATGAACGCGTCACCCAATTTTTTCCTCACGACTTTGGTTATGATTGTTTGGCAAGGACCTCTTGTCCTTGTCTTGAACTTCAACTGCGACTCTGGCTCTGCATGACTTTTATCCCACTCTGAAGAGGTTGTGGTTGTGCTCTCTCCGTACTTATCACGTTATAGATGCGAGCGACTAGCGCTTGGGACTCAGACTTTCGGAAAGATAGGGGCTTTGTCAACCTTAACTCGCCTAGGCTTTCCAGAATTGCCGGCCCTAGAACATTTTTCTTTCGTTCAAAGAGAGGTGATTGCACGTTCTTGCTGACCTCGGGAATTGAATCCGGGTCGTCGCTGGCAGGGTTGGGCATTAATATTCGAATTTTCCGGAGCCGCGGACGAGTCTTCTGACTTGCGACTGAATTGCGCCGCGCTAACTCCCGCGACTTCCCTGGCTACTGGGACCGGTAAGTGTGTGAAAGGTATATATGTCAACCCCAGCGATCGCTAACGGGCAGGAAAAAATAATCCCGCGCTCCCACAATCAGGGTCCAGCTCTGCGCCGTGTCTCTTTGCCTTCCGTGCGCTCGCTTCACGGCAGGTCTTTGCGTTTTTTTCGGCTTCAACCGAAAAAGGATGAACGTGTGGGTGTCTATGGGTCCCTTGTTCCAGATGTACTAGCTCGTGTTCTGTCCTTATTTCTTTTTGTCTCGCGCTTGTTTCTCGTTGTGTCCACGCTTGCCCTTTTCGATTGATTCATTATTTCTTTCTTCTTTTATTTCCTTGGCCGCCCTTTGCTCGCACACCGATTCGATTACCTCTGTCAAACATCCTTTGATTCCTTTGCTTCTGAGGACGCGCGGGACCTTCTCTTATTTTGGCCTCAACGCCCAAAATATCTCGCAAAACCAGACTAACTCCCATGGGGAAATAGTTTGGTCTTGAAGAACCTTCTTTCGGATGGCAGGTGGCTCGACCTTGTTCCCCTTTGGGCAACGGAGCACTTTGTACCGGTAATTGCCGGATTTGTTCGTCCATTTTGTCCCCTCCTGCTTTCGCATTTCGCGCCAATTCTCGCTCGAAATTGCTCGGAAGCCTCCACAACACTCCCCCCTCGTCAAGACACGCTTTTTTGATGCTATCCGGCTGGTGGGAGGGAGACGTCGATTCATTTCTTGACATCAATTGTAGACCACTATTTTCGAAGCTCTGATTCTCGGCTGATGCTTTGTTGACCTGGACCATTATGATCAAGCCTGAGCTTTCCTGCTTTTCATGACCGATTTGCCCCAATTGGTCCCTGAACGCTTTGCTGGTGGCTTTGACTGTAGGCCATTGTTTTCCTCGCGTACTCGACGTTTTGGTGTATAAAAAAGGCAACGCGGAATCAAGAACCCCCTCGTCGGCGTCTATCCTGCTTACTCTTCTCCGTCTTAGCACCTGCTCCGTGTCTTTCCTACTCTCGGTTTACCCAGTCTAACCAAGATCAACTCATGTCGCGCTCGCCATCCACTGCAAACTCCTCGGTACCCTTTTCGACGATCGCGTACTTTGGATGCCACCCTAACATTTTTTTTTCCCCACAGATCGTGAACACGGGGAACCTCCTCCCGTCCGTCAACATACTCTTCGACGAAGTGCGCCAGCGCGAGCGCGCGTCGTCGCATTCCTCCAACGGTTCGCGTCCCCAGTCCGCCTGGTCGGGTTTCGTAAGTCAGACACTTCGAGAAAAAGCTGTATTTTGCTGATAGATCGTGCGATGGCAGCCTGGACCTGATCGGGCGCTCCTGGGGCATAACACCAGTCCGCGCACCCCATTGCCGCCTCTGCAGGTTGGGCCGCGTCCAGTAATGGAGGCTCGTTTTCCAATTTTCCCGAGCATGTAAGATTTCTGACATTTTCGCGTATTTACAGACTACTCCGCCGATGATGCAACGTCAGGTATTTTTTTTGCTTATCTTCAATTATTATTTTTGTTTACATGAGCCTCGCCATCTTCAGCCAAATGAACTGAGATACAGACACGGTGACTCTCCGCCCCCGGAAGTGCAAGCTCAAAACTCCATTGTGGTTATTCCTAACCGGATGGGTGGCCGATATGCTCAGACTCCGTGCCATCCTAATGGCCAGCCCCACGCTCCTGGGGTACATTTTATGTTTCCCTTCGACCTTCCGACGTGCCTGACTTTCGTTCTGTAGTTGCTGCCCCCTACCTTCTCTCATCCGGCTTCGCCTCCACGTCATCACCGTCAGTCGCGCGCCGTGACCACCGTAAGTTGTTCCCTGCCTGCCTTGATGCTTCATTAACTCAAGCCCGCACCGACCCAGTCTCCTTCCTCCGGGCGCCACGCACACCCCTCCGGCTCCAACGCGCGTGAAGCTGCCAACGACGCCTCTGCGCGCATCTTCCACACCCTTCTCGAAGCCGCCGGTAACCCCTCCTGCCCACAATGCGTGCACGACCTCAAGATAGAGAGCCGGCGCCAGGTCGCGGGCAGCCACGGGCCCGCGTTCTCGCAATACGCGCACGGGCTCAAACCGCAGCACCCTACGGCGCTGCCGCAGGTGCACGGGCTCGTGACGGTTCCGTTCATGCCCAAAGCGCTAAATAACCACCAGACGCTGTATGGGGTGTCGTTGACCGAGATTTTGGACTTTCGGGATGTGCTTGAGGAGCCGAGGGATAGGGTGCTGGATAGTTCGTTGAATAAGATTTTGTTGACGATTGAGGTTTGTTGTTTTGACATTTCATTTCGTTCCTTGCCTAATATACATTTTCTCAGCACCCTGGATATCCACCGGTCACGAAGCAAATCGCGGGCAACTGCCCGCATAGACCGGTCTCGCGGTTTAACCTGGCCTTCAGCGTCGCGGAGGCGTATTTCTCTTATTTCAAGGCATGCGCGCTTCATGCTCATTTATTCGTCTGATAACACGCTGCGCACCAGTCCCACCCTTTCAACCCCGCCCTGGTTCCGCCCAACGCCGCCGTCGTGCGTTCCGTCACACAGCTTCGTCTGGTCAATCTCTACACCACCGACCGCACCAATTACCGCGCCCACCTCGCTTATGTGTTTTAATCTTGGCGCAGTTCCTCCAACGAAAACACACAGGCTTCAATCACTCTCTCACACATCTCGCTCCTTGGCTTGCTTAGATTAATTGCTTTCTCGTTGCTCTGTTACCTGCTATCGTGTCTGCTATCCCGCCACTGTACAACCTGTGTATTTATTAAAACTACTAGGCGCTGTTTGTAATGTAAGGGTTTGTGTTGGTTTTCTAAAATTTCAATGTGTTTTACTGGGTCGCGACAAGGATATCGAGAAGCATCTCAAATATCGAAGACTGGCTGATTATTGACGCGTCTTAAAATGTGACGGAGCGATTCCCCGGGCTGTGGGGATAGAGGCGCGACTCTCCGATGCAGGGCGGGACAAAGTTCCTTAGGAATTAATTGGAAGAGGACAAGAAGAGGATTGAGGAAGTCAAGAGGTCGCTAAAAATGTATTGTGGGTATATTGCCATCCAGTTCACCGTCCATAACTCCGACATGGTGTAGCGGTAACATCGGTGCCTTTCAACTCCTAAGCCTGGAATTGAGCGCACTAGCCCGGGGTTCGACTCCCCGTATCGGAATATTTTTTGCTTTCCTCATCTTCGCACGCTTGTTCCTGCAATTCCCTTTTGTCCAAGCGCCATTCTAATGCGGTTCTGGTAGTTTACTCTCGCAGCAACTGGCCCACCGAAAATCTCGAAATACATTGACGATTTTTTATGAAGTTACATACATTGGTTCGTCGAGTAGATACAAATGTCTACACACCATACTGAGAGAAAGAGAGATAATGATATAATGAACGTGGTGCGATGGGGTAGAGTACAAATGTCATAGTAATGCGAAGGAGTGAGGCGTCCGGTTCGTACACGGTAAGCAAGTAGAAATACAGAAAGACATAAAGTGTCCATGAGCAAGCGTTACGGAGCGTTAAAAGAAAATCATTTCCAGAACGGATTCTTAGAACCAGTCTTCCCTGAATTCGTCGTCGATGGCGGGACGGCGGGCGTCAAATAATAGGCGTCGAGCGTGCTCCCGTCCGAGAACCGTGATGTTATCTCGCGGTGCTGTTTCACGGGCTCCTTGGGCGCGGGTACGCGGTGCGGCATGCCCGTCACCTGGGAGTAGAGCGAGGGCGCGGAGAGCGTGCTTGCACTGTCGCTCCGCCGATGCGCGTCGTCGTGTTCCCGCAGGGGTATCGTCTGGAAGTGATGGTGGTGGTGCTGATGGCGTGTCTCGCCGCGGGGGTACTCGTACGCCGCCAGGAGCTTGTCCATGTCCCGAGCGTTGCGTGCCTCCTCCGCCGCGCGCATCTTCGCCATCTTCGTTGACGACCCGTCGCCCTCGCCGCCGAGCCCAACACCGCTCTCCGCATCGAGGGGAGCGGCACGCCGACTTGCGCGGTGGCCGAAGAGCTTCTCGCCCCAGCGCACGAGGCGCCAGCGCCAGCCGACACGGTCGAGCTGCCGGCGCTCCGCGAAGCGGGCTGTGCGCTGCGCGCGCTGTTTGCGTGCGCGGCGGCGCCAGAGCCAGACCACAGCGAGGAAGATGAACGCACATCCGAGTGCCATGAGAAGGATCTCCCACCACGCCAGCGCACGTCGGGGAGTCGACGTGACGGCGGTGGGCGTGTCGATACCCGAGACGGTGGGGAGCGGCGGAGCGTTGGGGTCAGTCGAAAGCGAGGGCACGTCCACGAGCTCGGAGAGACAAACACCTAGCCCAGATACGACGCTCGTGCCCTGGGTACACGGTGCAGCCACACACGTCCCCGCGCGCAACACCTGTCCCGCATTCGCACACGCCAAACACTGGCTCGGCCCCGCACCCGAGCAGCTCGCGCAGGAGCTATCGCAGGCGATGCAGCTTGAAGACGTGGGGTCGAAGAACTGCGTGCGCGCGCAGGTGGGCAGGCAGCGCCCGTTTGCGAGCACGGGGCGTGTTGGGGGGCAGGAGGCGCATTGGGAGAAGAGGGCGCCGGTGCAGGTGGCGCAGTCGGGGTGGCAGCTGAGACATGCGGAGGCGGAGGGGGCGGGGGCGGGGAAAGTATTGGCGGGGCAGGTGGAAACGCATTTGCCGGCGGCTGCGAGTTTGTTGGAGGCACAGGTGAGGCAGAATGTGGAGGAGCCGGTGCAGGTGGCGCAGGAGGAGTCGCACACTGTGTTGAAGTAGTCAGAAAACGGGTTTTGGGGAATGAGGGAGTAGCAACGTACATGTACAGGTCAAATTATCCTGCCCGACAAAGGTCCCCGCGGGGCAGCTCGCGACGCATTGGCCATTCGAGAGGACGAAACCCGGGATGCAACCCGTGCATTGGAGCTGGTTGACCGTCGATATCGCGCTAAAGTTGGGAATCTTGCACGAAATGCACTTTGCACCGCAGGCTGTAAAAAGCAGAACCTGTATCAGCAAGGCGCTCTCCGAAAGAGAAAAAGACGACGCACAATCACACTCCAACTTATCATTATTCGCAATCAACGCCGACCCCGCACATACCCCATTCGCGTCCGCGCTGACACAAGCACCGTTGAAGAGGTACGTTCCCGCCGCGCACTGCACGCAGTCGTTCGACGTGCCCGCTGTGCAGGTCTTGCAGCTCCCCGAACACGGTGCACAGTTTTGGCCGTTAGCAAAGGCGCCGTCTGGGCAAGTGGTGCCGGTGGTTGTGATTGACGGCGGGGGGTTACACTTGGTCTTGTCGTTCGCGTCTTGCGTGAAGCCCGTTTTGCAGGCGGTGCAGATGCCGGTGGAGGGAGCGCAGCTAGTGCAGCCAAGTTCGCAGACTGAGTGGTGGTCAGAAAACAAAAATCAACAAGAGGAAGCAAGGAAGACGCACTCGAGCAATCTCCCGCGTCAGTCAAAAAGAAACCAGGCGCGCACTGGCTGCACGCCGTCCCATTGGCGGCGCTAGTGAACCCTGCTGTACAGGTACAGCTCCCATTCGCGCCGCAGACCCCATTAACACAGTTGCACTGCGGCACCGCCGTCTCGAGACACCTCCCGCTCCCCGTCAGCCCGTCATCGCACTTCCCACACCCGCTCGGACACGCGGCGCAACTGGGCCCAAAGAACCCCGCGCTGCAGCTCTCGCACGAAGGGCCCGTGAACCCGGGGGCGCAGACGCACGTGCCGCTCGCGGAGCAGAGGCCCGAAGACGCGCAGGAGGGCGTACACGCCGCAGATTCGATGTCGAAGAGCGTGAGGCCGGCGGCGCTGGGCGCGGAGGTGGGGAGCTGCGCGGTGTCGGGGATGGAGTCCCAGAGGATTACGCGCTGGGCGGAGCCGGCTGTGGGGGAGTTTACGGCGATGTAGACGTCGGTGGAGAGTGCGAGGGAGCGCAGGGATAAGGGTGTGGACGAGTTGCCGGCGATGGGGGCGCCGGGTATGGAGGTGAAGGCGGGTTGGCCGGAGTAGAGAGGCCCAGAATAGATGGAGAGACCGGGCTCTTGGGCGACGTTCAGAGGAAGGGCGGTGGATCCGGTCGAGTTCTTGAAGCCTGGGGAGGAGGCGAGGGTTGCGGAGGATGAAGTGAGGAGGTTATGGAGGAGTTGGGGATTTGTTGTGGAAGTGTATTGCCCTGGAAGGAGGAGGGCTGGCGGGGACCCGGGGGCTGATATTGTGACGCCGACTAGAAGAGAAAGTTAGTGAAATTACGGTCGCTGAGAGTTTGGCAGACGCACTGGATGTATTGGAATAACCTTGAAGGCATTGGCCTGCAGTGCAGACGATGGTAGAAGTATTAGTTGTTGCCACTAGAGAGGAAACATTATCAATGCACGAACGCAGGGAGCAGAGCGGACACTCACGATTACTGACGGCAAAGAGGACAGGTAGAACAAGCATAGCTTGCTCGTCGCGAAAGTACACGGGATGGTGGTGGTAGCGGTGAAAGAAAGAGTGAGGACAACGTGAGCAACGCCGAAACCAGGTCAATGGTGAGCTCGGGCATTGTGGAATGCATCGTCAAAACCTTTTGTTCTTCTCCTGGCCACGGACAGTCGGTCCGAGTGGCCACAGTCCGCGCTATTGTGTGAGAACAATGGAATTTTGATTCAGGCTGTTTTTGGTCGTGTGCACGTCAGAATTCCTCCATTCTACATACAATGGAGGGGGGGAAGGCAGTGCAAGGTTCGCCATTGGTTTTGCGAGCGCCAGCCACCGCTTCCAGCGAATATACGCCGAGAAGTATCGCAAGTCCACAAGTGTTGTATTTGCAGTCAAAAGGAGCACTTTTTGGCTGGTATTTTCCTTGGGAGCGAGAGGACAAAGCAACAGAGTCACTGGGGAAGTTATTCTATCGATGTGAGGGTAAATTGAGCCAACTTGCACTCCAGTTCAACATTCAAGGTTCGGAACAATAGATGTTGTGACTTGTTTGGACGTCAATGGATTGAGTAGAAACAGAGCCAAATACAACGAGAGAAAAAAAAATCCAAGAAAGAAATTGGAGCCAAAGCCGTTGTTAGATGGGCACATCTCCCGGTTTATTGAGATTTTTACAGGATGCCATGAGAGTATCCTATTATTTTATTGGTATTTCAGTATTTTGAGCAAGGTGAGGGAGACGTGATAATGTACGAGGGAAATATACTACTTTGAAAGATCTAAAACTCAGCTCAAGCCGTACGAGTTGCCCCCAGCATCGCGGTCTCTACCTCCCCGGTCGTTCGAACGCGCGCCTCCACCGGACCGTCCGCCCCATCCTCCACCAGAAGATCCTCCGGATCCTCCGCCTCGGTCCGAGCGACCACCGTATCCACCCGATCCTCTGTCCGAGCGACCACCATATCCACCAGATGACCCGCCCCCATACCCGCCAGATGATCCGCCCTTATAGCCGCCCGACGATCCGCCCTTATAGCCGCCCGACGATCCACCCTTATAACCGCCAGATGATCCGCCCCCATAACCGCCAGAGCGCGAGCCCGTGTCGACGCCCATGGGGCCGCCTTTGGACCCAACGCCCGTCCCAAACCCGTCTCCGCTGTCCTTGCGTCCGCCAAAGCCGCCACGGAACTCGGACGCGTAGCCCGAGCCCGAGCCAGGCCCACCCCGATACCCATTCCCGCGCGACTTGTACCGCTCGCTCTTGTACTCGCTAACATCAACCTCCTCGTCCTCCACCTGCTGCCACTCTGGCGTCCTGGCCGGAGCGACACGCCCCGCGATGTTCCCGCGGCCCATCCACGGCGCGCCTGGCTCCCGCTGCCTGTAATTCGGCATCGCGTGCGACGCCTTGCCAAAGTGCCGCGTTCGGCCGTCACTCAGCCCAAGTTTCTGGAGGAACTCGACCGAGACGTACGGCGGCGCCGACAGCCCGCACGCGCCGGTGGTCCAGTCCTGGCACCCCTGGATGATAACGGGCTTTTGCACGCGCAGCTCGGGCGACTTGGCGATGTAGTAGCCAAGCAGCGACATGAACGTCTCCCGCACCGCCTCCCCGTCGAGCCGCGGCATTAGCGCCCCAACCGACTGGTCAATGTTCTCCACCGCGGGCGCCACCGTGGGCGAGAACAGTTTCTGCGGGACGGGTGACTTAGACTCGGTAAAGAACGCCTGCGGGTCCTCGTCATGCTTTGCC